GGGGCGCCGGGGCTGGCAGCGTAGGGCACCCTCCGGGATGGTGCGGGGCAAGCGCGGCGGCCGAGCTCCCGTGGCCCATCAGGGTGGGCCGGTAGCAGGTGCACGGCCAGGGCTGGGCAGGACCCAGTCCCTGGGGAAGGGTGCGTGCCCCCCACTGGAAGGGCCTGGAGGGGCCAAGTGGCTGAGGGCCAGGCCAGGCCAGGAGATGTCACACTTAAGACCACAGTGGAGGGAGCTGGGGCAGCAGCAGGGCATACCACAGTTGGGTGAGCAGCCCCATCGCCCCAGAGGAGTGCAGAGGTCCCAGCTTTGGGTCCCAGGGCACGCATGCCGGAGCGGCACCCTCTCCCCCGGTGCACTGGCACTCACCTGCCAGAAATCGGCAATGGTGTGGGACAGCGGCCCCTGTGTGGCGATGTAAGCTGGCATCCGTGGGTCGTGCTCAATCTGGAGCGGGAAGAGGGGGAGGAGGGGGTCAGAATGTGCACACTTTTGGGACAGGGGGTCTGTGCCACTCGGGGGAGGGTGGGGATGCTCCAGGGGTCATGGGCCCAAAGAGGGGATGGAGAGGAACCACTAGTTGCCACAGGAGGGAAACGGATTTAACTATATGTGAGCAACGGGGCAGGCACATCCTGGGGCAGCCCATGCGGCTGTGAGCCCAGCTGGGCTCCGTCTCGGAGTGGCGGGGAGCTGGGAGCCCAGCCTGGGTCTGAGCGCGTGGTGGAGCAGGATCCCGTGGTGAGCACTCACAATAGGGCTGGCATTGATGAAGTCGCTGCGGGACGGGTTGCTCTCGGCTTTCAGCTTGATCCGCACATGGTCATCTGGGGAAACAGAGCCCAGGGGGGTTGTGAGCTCCCGGGGGAGGCAGGGCCCAGCCAGAGCAGGGGCTTCACGCTGCTCCAGGTGCAGCTGGGGGCAAAACTGCCCTGCAGCCTGCCTTGGTCTCCAGCAGCCCTGCGTGTCCCCGTGCCCTGCACCCCCCTTCCCACCAAGGGCCTGGGAGCAGGTGCCTCGGGCAGGGTGGCAGGGACGCTCACAGGGCACGTAGTCCGGGTTGCGGTTCTTCTTCAGGTTGGCTCTGC